TGTTGTATTTGCTGGTTGCTGTTGCTGTTGTGGCTGCTGTTATGTGTTCGTTAGTTGTTGTTGTTGTTGTTGTGCGTGTGTGTGTGAGTGTGTAAATGTGTGTGTGAGTGTGCGAGTGTGTGTGATCGTGCGTGTGTTAGTCTTTGTGTGTGCGCGCGCGTTTGCGCGCGTGCGCGTGACCGCTTGGTGTCGATGCTCGATCCTCGATCCTCGGATCGAGGACCCATGGCATATGCTCAAGACCAAGCTCTCGGATCCTCGATCCGAGGATGAAAGGATCGATCCTGCTTGATGACAGTCTGGGCCCGAGGACGGCGACGAAGGAGATCGACGATCGCCGGGGCTCGATCCTCGATCTTCGGATCGCGAACCAGAGATCTTCGAGACCCAGCGCGGCGGCCCGCGGATCCAGGAGCCAAGCCGCTCATAGATGCTTGGAACCGAGATCTCGGATCCTCGATCCGAGGATCGAGGATCGAGCCTCCCTGATGGCGGTCTGGCCCCGAGGACGACGGCGGGGGCGATCGACGATCGCCGGGGCTCGATGTTCGATCCTCGGATCGCAAGCCCGTGATCTTCGAGTCCAAGCGCGGCGTTCTCCGAATTCGAAGTCCAAGGCTCTCGAAGATGCCGGGGGCCAAGATCTCGGATCCTCGTTCCCAGGATCGAGCCTGCTTGATGGCAGTCTGGGCCCGAAGACGGCAACGAGGGATATCGACGATCGCCGAAGCTCGATCCTCGATTCTCGGATCGCGAACCCGAGATCTTCGTGTCCAAGCGTGACGGCCCTCGGATCTAGGATCCAAAGCGTCAAAGCTGCTCGGAACCGAGATCTCGGATCCTCGATCCGAGGATCGAGCCTCCTCGATGGCGGCCGGGGCCTGACGACGGCGACGGGGGCAATCGACAATCGCCGAGGCTCGACCCTCGACCCTCGGATCGCCAACCCGAGATCTTCGAATCCACGCACGGCGATCCTCGGATCTAGGACCCAAGGTGCTCGAAGATGCTCGGGCCCAAAATCTCGGCTCCTCGATCCGAGGATGGAGGGTCGAGCCCGCTCGATTGCTCGATGCCTGAACGAGGATGAGTCGGCGAGAGGGGGGGGGGAGGGGCAGCGCCCCGCAGCTTGGAACGCCGCTCGCGCGTGCTCGAACGCTTGCTTGGAGTTCGAAAGCAGATGGGGCTCGAGCGCGTGCCTCGAGGCGCTCGCGCGGCGCCCTCGCAGCGAAAAGCACGGGGGCGCCCGGGTCGGGGCCCTCGTGCGCCAGGCGCTCGCCGCTCGCCGCCGCTCGGCTCTCGGGCGCCCTTCGGCGTCGACTTGTCGGCCTCTGGCTCGGCTTCGCGCCGGCCTGGCTCTTGTCGGGCTCGCGCTGGCCGAGCATCTTGTCGTTGTCGTCGCGTGGATCCTGGCGAACTCTTCGAAATTCATCTTGGCGTGCCGGTCGGGGGCCATTGTCTCGCAGCGGAGCTGCCCGTCGGCGCTTGCGTAGTCATGTTCGGAGCGCCTGCCCATGTAGTTCTCGTGCTGGAGCTCGTGGGCCATGTCGGCAGTGCGCCTGGGGTTCCAGCGCCACTAGACGACCGCTTGCGCGGTGGCTCGCGCGCGGCCAATTCCCTGCGCCGCGCCGTCGTCGCGGCGCCAGTTGACGAATTGCTTGGCCTTGTGGGGGTCATCTCGAAGAGCTGCTCGCTTGGCGCGCCGGCAGAAAACTCCTCGGCCATCCTCTCGACGGTCTCGAAGCTCTCGTTGATCGGCAGCACGAGGTCGTGGAGGTTGAGGAGCTCGGAGGGGGCATCGGGGAGGGCCTTGCCGACGCGCTCAGCGTAGGAACCGAAGCTGGGGCGCCGGGCGCTCTCGGCGCCGAGCTCGATGACCTTCTTCTTGGCAAGATCGAGCATCTTCGACTTGAAGCTCGGCATGGGCCAGAGGAGGCTCTGGGGCGGCTCTCCGTGATTCTCGGAGATGTCGCGGAGGCGGGCGTCTTTCTCGCAGTAGGTCTTGTAGAGCAACGCCACCGCCAGCTCGGCGCGCCTCTTGTCCTTCTCGCTGCAGATGCGCCCGCGCTCGATGCCGTTGAGAGAACCGCCGTCGCAGACCATCTCGATGGCGGCCTGCTGGGCGCTCGCGGACCACGAGGCGCTGTCCGCTTTGAAGAAGCAATCCTTCATTCTTGCTGCGTCAGCGCCTTGCGCTCTCGATTGGCATTAGCGCGCGTCGGCAATAACGATCTTGTCCGCGATGAAAGACAACTTGTCACAGATCTTCTCGTTCTGCTTGGCCATGCGCTCGAGAATCTCGTTCGAACTCGGGCTCGCGCTCTGGGTCGCGACCCCCTGCGCGGCCGCGACCTGCCGGGTCGCCGCCTGGGCGCGCTCGGCGGCCTGGGACATGGCTGAGGCTCGCGACGCACTCAAGGGCAACGACGTGGGGGGATACGCATTGAGGGGGGGACATCGCTTTGGAATCGGCGATACATCGCCGATGCATCAGCGATGGGCGCCCGATCGTGAATCCGCACATTCCTGGGCAGGTTCGGGCTATCGAACCACTCTCTGCGATCAATGGGCGATTGGGGATCGATGCATCCCCTTATGCCTAATCCCCCCCCTATCGTTGCCCATGGGGGAGGCGCAGCTCGGTGCCTCGACGAGGCTCGAAGGCTTGGAGTCTCGATTCGGGGAAGCTCGGGCCTGGGCAATTGCGGGGGGGAGGAGGAGGAGGAGGAGGAGAAGGAGGAAGAGGAGGAAGAGGAGGGGCCACGAACCGTGTGATGGATGTGCTAAACAAGTAACTCCAATGCTCTGCCTGCTCGAAAAAACGCATGTAACTTCAAAATCCAATCGGTCCCCATGGCCCTGCCACACGTCCCTGACTCGGGAACGGCTGAGAAAGTGAGAATCCCATGGCCCTGCCGCGCGTTCGTGACTTGGGAAAACTGAAGTGGGGAGAATCCCAGAACCCTGCCACACGCTCGTGATTGCGGAAGCTGGAATGGTGAGACCACCATTGCCATGTTCAGCGTTTCTAATGCTGTTGCTAGTCAATATGAGACGATAGCAATTTCGATTCGCAACTTCCCCCGGGGATTATCAAATTCGGCCTCCGCGCCCTTCTCCACAATTAAATCCGATTGACACGGGATACATAAAATTACAAAGGGGGTTAGAGGGGGTATGCTTTATAATCTGGGGCACGGGTTAAGAAGTGCAAACTATGTTTAAACTATGTAGCGGACGGGCGGGGCGCCCACGAGGCGGCCACGGGCGGCAACGTGGCGAAATCTCGCCAGACCAACCAAAAACACAGGGCGCCCACGCGGCGATCACGTGCAGCAACATGGCAAAACCTCGCCGGACCCACCCAACGCACGAGGCGCCCACGAGGAGGCCGCGGGCGGCAACGTGGCAAAACCTCGCCGGACCTACCAAAAGCACAGAGCGCCCACAAGGCGACCACGGGCGGCAACGCGGCGAAATCTCGCAAGACCCGCCCAGCGCACGAGGCGCCCACGAGGCGGCCACGGGCGGCAACGTGGCGAAATCTCGCAAGACCCACCCGGCGCACGGGGCGGCCACGGGCGACAACGTGGCGAAACCTCGCCAGACCCGCCCAATTCCTTAGTCAGACAAGGAAGATCCTCTGCATGCAAATTGTGTTTGGGGAACAAGTAGGAGCCGCTGAGTGCAAGCACTGTCTGTGGAAATGTGAATCAAGCTTGATGTCCCGAGGTGCATCCACTCGTGAGTTGACTTGTGCGCCCAATGCAAATTAACGATGGCGTCGACCCCCCAAGCCTCCTCAGTAGCACCCGAAGGGTGTATGAACCAAGAACATAAATAGAAACGCAAACAAGACGCCCCTATACTGGTTCCCGTGCTGTCCGTTGCCCTCTTCAGGCATTATCGGGTCCCTCTTGAGATGCTCAGGATGGAGGGGAGGACAAGCATCGATACAACCAGGAAGGAGGAAGGATGGATGAGGGTTGAAACAGGAGTCGGGATGATGAGACATGAGGATGGCGGGAGAAAAGGAGGAGGGGCTGACGAAAGATCAAGGGGAGAGACGGACGGAGAAGACCAGAAACGATACAAGGATGAGACAGGGCAAGATGGACGGGGCTGGGAGAGATAAGGGCGGAGAAGAGAAGCAAGGGAGGAGAGATCAAACATGATGAGAAGAGAGAACAAGAACATGCGAAGGGAGAAGACGCTGGAATTGAATACACCCCAAACCGACACAAATTTGACAGAACGTTGACACAACTTGCTCTTCCTCATCGTAGGGTATCCCAGGGCGGTTCTTGGGGGCTCTGAGATCCCTCTTAAGATCGTCTTGTGGGACTATTGTGCTCTCCAAGGTGGCTTCCTGGGGCCTTGATTTATCATTCCGGGGGTCTTCGGGGCCTTCTGGGGGTTCACCGAGAGCGTGGCTTTGTTGGGAACCATGTTCAACGAACAAAGGATGAGTACAACCATATTGCGTTTCATGCATCTTCAGTTCTCTAGGGAGCAGCTTGCAACTACTTTTAGATACTTGATGGTGCCCTCCAGGGACATCTACAGGACATCGTGGTGTCACCTTCGGCCGATGCAAGGGTCCTGTTGACGCGAATTGGTGCCCTCTTGGAGGCCTCGTGCCTCGTGCCGATCCTGGAGGCACGATAAGACCAAGTGACCAGATGGGCCCTCTTCGGTCCTGTGGCAAGATTTTCGGTGACTTCTGCCCGTGTTCTTCTGGCGTCGAATTTCGGGAGAAGAGGGGGTGCAGACACCCCCAAGGGCACACTAGATGGGAACGCCTCCACAAAGTCGGGGAATCTGATAAAGCCACGAACCCCGACGGTGGAACACAAAAGAACATTCAACCTCCTCTTTTCTGCGCTGGTACGGTGGCACGGTGGCGGGGTTTGCCGCAAGCAACTGATATTCCAAGCTTTCCGTCAACTGTGCGCAGGCGCTGCAGAAACCCCCGACATTTTGAAGTGAGCCCTGGGCTCCTTCCCTGGGTCTGGCTTCTGCGGCTTCATTACCAGCGGTCGTCGTGTCTCCGTCCACGCGCCTTTGTCAAGTGCAGCAGAAAGGCCCTTCGCGTTGCCCTGCTTCGCGTGTTGCAGCAACTCGTGGTTTAGTAACACCTGGGATGGGCGCGCCCGTGATCGAAGCGAAACTCCCGAGAGCGTGGCAACAAACAAAGGGTGCGTTGGTTGCCGCGCTCTCCCGATGATCTCGAAACTCCCACACCCAACTGTCCTGATACGCAACACGCAACCCAGAGCGTGTTGGCACGTGGCTCAACACGTCGGTTCCAAGCGGAGATCTAGTTCGCCAAGTCGTAGGACAACACTGAGAAACCCACGTTTCACACGCAACATGTGGACATTTGCGCCAAAAGCCTAACACGGACACCCTCCCCGGGCGCAAGTAGCACCTCCCTGGGCGAACATATAGCCTCCCCATGCCCATAGAACACATCCCTGTGCGCATATCCGCCACCGTGCCTTCAGTACGTGGTGGAGCGCACCTGGGCTCATATGTATGTGAATATGAAGGCCCGGGGCACCAATGTACTGGAAGTCCTGGGCGCTCCTGGGCGCTTCTGGCGCTAACTGCGTGGGCCGCTTGGAAACCATACCCACCCAAACCAACTCCAACGTCCCTCCAGACAGATCCAGAAAACTACTGGAAAGGTTTTAAAAGTACTCAGTGGCCCGAAGAGACCACCCTGTGGTTCCCTTGGACCCTGCGCCATCTTGGAGGCCCTGGGGGCCAACCCATGAGAATGCGAGCCGATCCGCCCTACGATGTTCAAAGGTGCCCGCCTCGCTCGTCGTTTTGTGTCCGCGCGCCGTTGCAGATGCAACTGGCGGCACCGTCTGTCGTTGCTACCTGAAACCGACTTGGCCGAGGATGCTATACAGAGGAGGGGTAAACTGAGCGGGGGAAGGAAAAGTAAGAGGGGATAGGCCACGAGGGCGCGACACAAACTGGAAGGAAGAGCGTCGCGTGAAGGACATATCGCCAAAAGCACAACCTGCGTGGTCCCAGGGTTGCTGCAATACTCTGGATCTCCACGCACCGTCATCCATTCGGAGCTCAATTTGCATGAACCTCGCCGCGCACACGCACGGCAAATCATGGAGGAACGAGATTTCTGGGCCTTGGCTTCCGAAAGGTGGCTGGGGGGGATGGCAGGCCGTAGAGGGCCATGGAAAAACGTGGTCCCACCTTGGCCCGGGGGTTCCCGGGGGTGGTTGGGAACGGCGACGCGCTATTATATGTATGTATATATATATATATATATATATATATATACACATACATACATATATTTGCATACATATATATATACACACACACCGTCGTAACGCGAATGCGGGTTGCACTTGAAAGCCGTTTTCTTCCTCACCGAGCGTGTGGGAAAGGACGCACACACAGTGCCGAGAGAGAGGAGGAGGAGGAGGAGGAGGAGGAGGAGGAGGAGGAGGAGGAGGAGGAGGAGGAGGAGAAGGAGGAGGAGGAGGAGGAGGAGGAGGAGGATGGGGGAGGAGGAGGAGGAGGAGGAGGAGGAGGAGGAGGAGGAGGAGGAGGAGGAGGAGGAGGAGGGGGAGGGGACAAGTGAAGCCAAATGGCGAAGGGTACGACTTAACCCTAAAACGTATCATCACCTGGCCTGCCAAGCTGATGTAGAAAAGACCCGTATTGAACGGCTTCGACGGCCAAACACTACAAACACCATGGCTGGAGACAGGAGGGAGGACGAGCAGAAGAGAACTCCAAAATACCTGGAGCAACGCTCAGGCCAACCTGTCGTAGGCGAGCCTGTGCGCACATCAAGGGACTTGCGAAGCTGACACTGCTGGGCACCTCGGCCACCCACGCGATAAGAATACGTACTGCGTATCTGGATTTACGAATGCGCAAAGAAATCGATCGGCTCCCAAGCCGAGCGACAGCATACCTGCCGAGAGTGCAAATGAGGCGAAGCGTAACGTGAAACAATAGGGCTGACCAGGCCCTGTAGAGGAGAGGGAGAAAGAAAGAGGAGGAGGAGGAGGAGGAGGAGGAGGAGGAGGAGGAGGAGGAACGGCAGAGAACACGACACAAAAGAGCAACGCAAAAATGGAAGAGGAAGGAAACTCAGCCCCTCGTTGCCCGCGTGCGCGCCGGAGGGGCTCTCATAGCTCGTCCCATCGCCTGTTGGTTGAAGGCATTCGCCACCAGCTCCGTCGATCTCGGGTGTCGCTGGGTGGCCTCCCGGAGGAAACCGCGGAAGGCGTTGGCGGACTCAGCAACGTTCGGGCCATACCGCACCTTAGCTTGCGTCGCGTGTAGCGCGTAAACGGAGATTGCCCTCAAAGCGCTCCTCTCTGGCCCTGTCAGAGATGGATTGCCCCAGTAAACCGACGAGGGCCGGCCGATGCCGATGAAATTTTCCAGCGCGTGCTCCAAGGGTGACCGCTGCAGTCCAAGGCGCCGAGAACAGCAGGCGTAGTAGGAGTGGCAGCACGCATAATGCTCGATCGCGTCCTCCCCGGAGCAGCCCATTATGCGCGAGGAGCGACCCTAGAATCGCCGTGCGGTCGCCCAGCCATTGAGCGCCGTCCGGATGACCGCTGCCAAGACCCGCGGCGCGACGAGGTGCGAGATGCTCTGGACGAAGCCGATCCACAGGGAGACCCTATGGCCTGTTTTTTTCCTGTGGCCGTACGCCCTGCTTGGGCCACGCGAAAAAAAAAAAAACGAACTGCGCGCCCGCGTCCTTCACCCGGGCCCGCGTCCGTAGACGAGCCGCAAGGCCCGGGCGCGGTCTCCCAGGCTCCGGGGCACGCCAGTAGCGGCCACCGCTGCTGCGGCCGCCTGGGCCGCGCCCCTGGCGCCGTCTTCGTCGGCCAGCGCTGCGTCGCCAGCAGGGCCACCCCCGGCGACCGGCGCAGCGTCGCCCCTAGCGCCCCCATCGGGGCGGCTCTCCAGGTGCACCTCGGCAAGCTCCCCCGCTCCGGGCGCCGCAGCGGCGGCGCCGAGGCCAGCCGCGCCGGCGCCTGCGTCCGGGTCTGCTTCGGCCGCGCCGACCCGCGCCTCGAGGGCCACCGCTGATGCCCAGACCGCCAGGGAAGCGGCCGCGCCGCCCGCGCCGCCGGGCCCGCTCTCCGCCTCTTCTGGGGCTGCTGCAGCGGCGCCAAAGGCCAGGCCCGCAGCGGGCTCCGCTTCTGGGGCTGCGGCCGCGCCGTCGGCGCCGCCAAGGCTCGCCGCGCCGGCGCGCGCCGCGTCGCCAGCAGAGCCGACCGCGGCGATCGCGCCAGCCGCGCCGCCGCCCTCCGTCACCGTCACGGGGGCAAGCCCAGCCAGTCCGTCCAAACCCCCCGCGGAGCCGGCTTGCGCCGCGTCACCGGCAGGGCCGGTCGCGGCGGCAACCGCGCCCCCCCCGCCCAGCGCTGACGCGCCACCCGCGCCGCCGCCCTCGCCCGCGGAGGCGAGCCCAGCCAGCCCGTCCAGCCCCTCCGCGGCGGCCGCGCCGGCCGCGTCCCCGCCCGCCGGGGGCGCCGCCGTAGCGCCGCCGAGCGCGCCTGAGAGCGCGGCCTGTTCCTCGCCCTCGGCCGCGCGCGTGCACGGCGCAGGCGGGGCGTCGGGGGCGCCCGCGTCTCCCGGCGGCTCCTCGGGCAAGCAGCGGCGGAGCTGGCCCCCCAAGCGCCGCTGGAGCTCCACCGAGATGGCGGCGCGCGTGCGCTGTAGCAGCGGCCGCCAGTCCGGGGTGCCGCGCCGCCGCGCTGCCGCTCTGGCCAAGCCCTGCAGCGTGTCCGCGGCCTCGACGCGGGCCCTCCCGTAGCTGCTCCAGACCATGGGCTGGCACCGCACGCCCCGGCGCCGCAACTCGTCGAAGTGCGGCGCGTACGCCTGCTGCTTGCGGTGGACCATTGCGGCGCAGCAGTCCAGCCCCCCGCCAGCAGCCTCCGGCGAGCACGCCCCAACGTCCAGCTGGTCCTTCTAGGCAGCCAGGGAAGCGGTCCTCAGCCTTGCATTCGAACCGTATGTTGCGGATTCCGTTCTTGAGCTCGGTGGAGTTCCTGAGGAACCATCTGTGGCTACTGTCTTCGTCGTACAGAAGGCAGAGCAGGTGGGTCTGGTAGCTGCATGGGAGGATCGTGAGGAGGTCTCCTTGTAGGGCCCTGGTCTGTGTCCAGGTGGGGATCCTGCCGCCAGGTCTCAACGCCTATCTGGGCTCCCACGGGCTGGGGAGCCGGGGATAGGAGATGGTGTCGGTTGGGGGCGGGAAGTTCCCGAACCACAGCCTCTCTCTTGGGCTGGCGACCGAATCTGCCGCTTTCACCCTAACCGCCCAGTCCAGGTTCAGGTCTCCGGTAGCGGCGCAGATGGCCTTCCTGTGGGCTGCCGGCATGGAGGCTACGTTTTCCACAAGGACCAGTATCTTCAGGTCTGGTCGTCGCTTGCTTGCCAAGTACCAAGCGGTGGGCACTGCGAAGAAGCAGCACGATTTCGCGCCAGCCAGGCCGTCGTATCCTCCAAATTGTCCTGCTGCAGACAGGTTGCTGCATGGGGGGCCTGCTACGATGAGCAGCGTGCTGCCTTGTTCCAGGGAATCCAGGTGTGCCTCCCATGGTGTTCTGCCGCCAAGGTGGTCCCGTTCTCGGAACAGGTCCCACGCGCCCGCTGCGAGTTGAGTTCGCGGGGGACCACCATCTGTTGGATCCGGTGTGGCGCTCCATCTCCTGGCCACTGCCTCTGCGGCCTCTCTGGAGTACTCCGCGAAGACCGAAGTCCGAAACTTGTGGCTTGCTCCGAATTTGTGAATCAAATCTCCGATGGCGAGTCGGGCTAGCCCCCATCCGTCGAAGAGAGAGACCAGGTGAATGTACGCGCCGCTCCCGGACCCGGCAGCGTCAGCTGCTGGTTCCCCTCGTGGCACCACGCCGGTCTGCTGCGTGAAGTCGACCTCCCTTGCTTCGTCTACTCGGACCCTCCCCGAGATATCCCAGGCGGCGTGGCCTGGTCCTAGACGAACTGTGCCCTGTTCGTCGAGGGGCCTGAGTGTTTCCAGGATGAGGTTGTTGTCTAGCCCGGCGACTTGGCATGCTGCCAGGATCTGGTTCGGAGGAGCCACCGGCGAGAGCCCAGTTGC